AAAATTTCGTATATCTCCCGACAAAGTAGCGCACAATCGGTGGTCGATTGCGCACAGCCGATCTTCGTTGTACAAATACACTTCGCGACTGTCTGTCTCCGCGAGGAGAGAGAAGATAATTTTCGATATAGCATGGAAATGGATGGGAGAACTGAAGAGAAACGACAAGAGGGGGAGAATTGTTCCCGCGGTAATTTCGGCCGACTAAGTGGCGCGTTCGCCGATCTTTCTCTCTCTCCTTTTTTGTCGTTCCTTTTTGGCTACCGTTTGGAGTTTAACGTAATGGTTAGACCGTCGTGTACGACGACCACGACGAGGTCAGATCCCAATCCCGGTCACGAATGAGTCACGATTCGAGTCGCGCAGTCACGAAGCTGCCGCTCAATTCTGCGGGTCTCTTTTTCTCTCTCTTTCACTTTCTCTATATTCTCCCCGTCTTTCCTTCTTTCTCCCTCGTAAAGTCTATTGTGTTACCTACTACACTTTCTTAATACGTTTTGATTTTTTTTTTCCTTCGTATCCCGTATGTGATCTCTCCCTTCTGCTTTCGTGTTACGTGCTTACGCGCACCCTTTATCTGTATTACGATAACCCGTGCACACGTGGAATTAAATTTTGACGTATCGAAGCTTTCCCCTCATGTTCTCGCATACATTTGCTCGTTACTTTATCTATTCTTCACATCTGTTTCACATAACGCACAGGTGTCCGTGCGGTAACTTAACAATATATCTCTAATAATGTATGTCGTGTAATTTAATATATCATTATACGTTGTGAAAAATTAAAACGTCCTTTTTTTTTTTGAAACGCATAAAGAATTTTATACAAAGAAATATGAAAACAATAATAATCAATATTGATATTGAATGCACTGCGGTGCAAAAAAGATTACCGATGTGTCGAAAGTATCAATGTGCACTTTTGAAATATACATATACTATATTTGAAATATATATTATTTCCAATTAAATGTTACAGTTAATTTCGCCCCGACACTATCTCGATGTCGTAAAATCGATATTTTACGCGCAAAACTCTCAATATCGCGCGTATATTTATGAAAAAAAAAAAATTCGAGAGCCGGAGGAAGAGAACGTTTCGCAAAATTTACATTTGTCCATGTTTTATTATTAATCTCTTGAGTGGATATATTCCGCGTTCTAATTGTCCATTACAAAACGAGCGGTGCTGATCGTATTTATCATCCTTGCTCGCGTATTGGTCGTGCACTAGTTTGCGCGAGACATTCGCGGCAAATACTGTGCGTAAAAATCAACTGGATTGCAGCCAAAAATACACTTAACAAAGTTCAGTTTTACGTAACGATGACGCAATCGATGTTACGCGAGATTGTATTGGTTCTGATGCGGAACCTCTGTGTAAACAAAAAACTAAATTTTTTTATTTAGTTGCGTGTATTTTAGAGTGCGTTTTTACACGGGTTTGTAATTGTTAATATAATAAAAAGATACATCATTTTTTTTTCTTTATACGCGTGTATAAATAAAACATATTGAGAAATTGATTATCGCGACGAATTAATCGCAGGAAAGAGAAGAATCGATCAATAAATTTTGAAACTTACGTACGTGAATCTTTTATAAATATAATTAAATTAAATACTAACAAATAATATAAGTAAATATAAATAAAAAATAAAAAATAATTGAACAATAAAATTAATTTAATTACTTTTTTTCAATTAAATTAACTTTTTTTTTTTTAAGTATTTGCGAGACGCGCTCTTCTGATTTCTGACCTATTGTATTTTATTAAATCAGCTTTTGTAAAGATATATAAGATGGATTTATATACCTTGCATATATAAATAGATTTATTACGATACTCGGTAAGTTCGCGTGGGCGCGCGATATCGTTTTCACTCACCTCGTTTATAAATTTCCACGGGAATTCGCGAGTTTGAAAGAGAGCGCTTTTCTCCGCTGTAACTGCACAAGGTATTTGATCCCATATGAAATTCGCGCGTAAACTTCCGAAGAGGAAGAGTGCTCGAATCTCGGCTGGGAGGATATACGCTCGTAACGAACGAGCACAATGCGATTAAGTTAATTGCCTCTTTAATTAGACGACACACAAACTTATGTCGGAGGAGAACGGTCTCTTCCCTTTCTCTCCCTCTCTTTCACCTTTCCCCTCTTCCCCCCGCTGCGTTGCACAAATATTTAATTACAGCGTCACACGTGCGGGATTACACGGATCCTCCTTTGCATTCGCAAGACGTGGCTATGTGTACTTAGTATATGGATTTGCGCCAAGCTTCTACACGAGCTCGATCTACGTGCGCAACAATAACAACAAACGCACAATTGCCGGATTATTTTTATCCGCAAAATATATCGCGATTCAACCGAAGCACGCGTGTGTGTGCGTCGTCGAGCAAATATACTTGCAAGTAACGTGATATAAATTATCCTTGCGCTGAAACTGAATTTAAAGAGAGTTTACACAACAATTGAACAGCGATTCGCGTATTTGCCATTTTCAATTATCGATTAATTAGAAAAAAATAAATCGTGATATCCAACGCGCGCGGAAAGCCATATCGCTGTGTTTCACGACCGAAATTTAACCGGAGACGCGGAAGACGCGCTCCTCCCTCGCGCAAATTACATCTGTCAAGGAAATCACGCGAATAGGCGCGCGCACCGAGGGTGGAAATGTAACAGGACAGCGCGCGAGAGCTCAAACGTATCCGTTAATCCGCGTCGGCTTAAGTGCGGACGAGCGGGAGAATGCAAGGACCCCGGTGCACACACATCCAAAGGCTTGTGCTTGAGACTCGCTTTCCCGTTGACCATTGGGGGTAATTATCGTGGCTCCGGGGAAAGCTCTCTCACGCTCAAATCCCTTCCGGCTAGCTGGCCGGCGGAGGTTCGGCTGGCGCGCGCGAGCACGTCAAAATCCTGACCCTCTTAAAAGTCGGCATCGAGTTGTGCACAACGCGCGACAATAACCGGTCATTTTTCTGCAGCGAGATCCTTGCAGAACAGCAGCAACCGACCGCCGCTCTCTCACTTCTCTTCTTCCTCCCCGCGTCTCTTCACCCCTTTCGCGCCACGCTCCAGGGGGGTTGCGCGACGCTACCGACGAATAGACATGAGCTCTCCTTTCGAAAGCACTAACCGCGCAAAATAGAGTCAATTATGAAAGCGGGGTCAGCCGTGATCGATTTTCCCGCGAGAATTCTGAATCTGGAAAATAAGTTTTCACATTGACGAAGAAATATTAATTTTTGCAAATAATTAATTTTCGATCGGGATTTGATTATCCTGTGTTATAATTAACGCATTACTTCAATTTCTTAAATATTATTGTACAGAGAACGGTTCTAAAATAAGAACTTTTATATGTGTGTAAAAAATATTTTAAATGTCCACACATGATAAATATTGAGATATAATATCATTTACTTTAATAATAAACTTTTCACTGTTATTTCAAAATTATCACTTCTCCGAATTAGAAAACTAATGTAGCAAAAGAGTGTTTCGCTTCGAATATGTGAATAGCAGCGCTTTCTTAAGGTGCTCTTGTGAACTACTTCGCGCGTTGCACACATGATACATAGGCACTGTGTTTATAGGAACTGCAATACACAGAGAAAAAATCTATTAATTAATATAAATAAATAAATATATTACTATAACACATAATTGAAAAAAAAAAGTTTGAATAAAAAAAAGAGAAATATAAAAATAAGTTTTCTCACATATTGCAGCAAGTTTTTTCCAGCATAGACTATATATAAGTCTCTCTGTTACAAATTTATAACAAATAAATGTGCGGCACATATTGAGTCAGAGTTTGTATGAAACTGGATCAGCGAATCCTTTAATTCTTTATTACGCTAATTATACCAGTAGCTAAAAAGGACAAGTTTTCGTTTTATATCCAATTAATATGCCATCAGCATTAATGCGAGTCGCTCTCTAATGCCATTCACTCGAGGTTGCTAGAACATCTGAATAAAAGTCAGATATAGAGAAAGATAGAAAAAGAGAGAGAGTCCAAAGTTTTAAAGGGCTGATAAATAAAGGTAATAAAATGTAAGTAATACATAAGGCATAAGGTGTGCTTTGCATTTGAAAATAAAGAGAGATTGCATGATATTATATTCATTTAAATTCATATCTTAATACGACCGTGGGGTTGTGCGACTAACCTGGCGCGACAGGATCACGCCAGGCATAAAATCCAAATTACGCGACGATACGACAAAATCCGTTCTCCGAAAGTTTCGCGTTTGCTGCTCCGCAAATTACATCTTACGAGATTTTGTCACATAGTTTGAGATCGAATTGAGTCTCGCGCCTTGACACGAAAATGCCGTTCTCAGAGGGATGTGCGCGCGCGCGCGCGCGACGGTCGTTATTAACAGTAAATAGACGAGACGTTGATAAGACGGGAACTAATTAGCATGTAGAACTTGTTGGCGATGTTTAAAATTCATGTAGCTATTGACCTTAGAGAGGTGGGAGTTCAAAGAGCGGTAACTACAGAGAGTACAGTGATTACTGGTATCAAGAGCTGCCACGGACGGAATGTATAATACGAGCATACGCGCGCGCACCCACCCGCCCGCCCGCAATGATCTTCGAGCGCGTGGTCGAGCATAATAAAGTCTTAAATCGTGTGAACGAGTTTTGTCGATGATTTCTCTCTTTCTCTCTGTTATAAAGTTTCTTTCGAACAATATTGCTGTGAGAAAAAAAATATCGTTAATATCGAAACATATAAAATAGTCGAACTGTCCTCACGTGTCAAATGTATTAAATATTCGATAACTTGGTCAAGTTTTTCAAATAAAATTTAAAGGCTCTCATCGTACCGACTCACATAATTTAGATCCCGTAAACGCTCATATACTGTTTTTTGAGGGGAAATCGTGATGAAAAATATATACGTATATATGTTGCTACATTTCATATAGTTTGTATATATTTTAAAATAGATTTTTAAATCGATATTTCTAGAGTTTATACAAAATATATTATTATATAAAATATCGTATGATAACTATGTGTCTGGGTTACACATGTCACGCAAGGAAAATTGCTAAATGAGAAATATATTAAAAACTATCATATATACGTTTCATGCCATTTATATTAAATTTGTTTGCCACATGAACATATGACTTCTGTTTACTAAGCTAAGAGCTAGTAATCTAAGTCTCTGAAAAATAGAATGACAAAATTAACAGTATTAACAAAATATTTTCGTAACTTTCGTAAACAAAAAATATCTTTCAAAGATACGATCTGGCTTTTCTTTATAATAAAATTAATTACCGCTTAAATAATTTTCGATTAACATTTTGTCACGTTAAACTAAAATTATGTATTATATAACGATTATTGCTTAAGATTAATCATTTCGATTTCTTAATGGCGTCGTCTTATGCGGCGAAGACAGAGGGGTCGAGTGCACCATTCCTATATTCTCTTTGCCTTTTCCATGAGACCGGCTTCCTTCGATTATCAATTTTTCTATAGTCTTTTGTTGCTGTTCAATTATCTTGTTCTTGGCATGTAAATCCTAAAATCAAATTATTATTTTTAACTGACAATTATTACTTTTAAACTGATTGAAATATAAGAACGAAGATAAGAACTGCTCAAAACTGCGACACAAACGTTTGGAGAAAAACATTCGTGCATATCTATCTGCTACATATGTTACACTGTAAGCTGTAATGGACAAATAACAACGCAATTGTAAATTTACAACAAAAATATTTATTCTTATATATAAAATTCATCTTGTATAAAATATAACTAAAACATAATGTATACTGATGTATTATTATAAAACCAATACTGATGTATTATTTACATTCATTTTATATAAGTATATAATTTGTAAACAGAAGAGTAAAAGAGTATATATACATAATGATCAGTATCCCTTGCCATTATCAAACAACAAGCAAGTGCATTATTCATCGAGTGTGTAAAAGTGCGTATGTAAAAGAGATTGTAAACAAAATATCTGTTTTTTTTTTTTTTGTACCAACTGAATTTCATAAAATAATACACAAATCTTTAATCATATAAATTAAAAACGTAAAAATCCTATAAAATAAAGAATGACACAAAATATAAAATAAATAACGACGGATAAACAAACCTTTTCTAATGACATATTCTTCTCTTTTAACTGAGTTACGTGTTTATTTTTTTGCTTATTATTCTGGTGGCCGAGTATTGCAGCATTTTGTTCATGTATTTCCTCGTATTTCTTGAGACGGTTATTTAATTCCGTGACTCTAGCAACTTCCCTATGTAAGATACAAAATAGTAATTATCACTCGACTTTGCGATTAAAACATTTTTACTCAAATCGGACTTACTCCTCAGCCTCTTCTCGTCGCGACTTTTCTTTCGCGAAAAGTTGCGCAATTTCATACTCTTTAGTTTTCCATCTCATTGTTTCTTCTTCTAATAATGAAATAGTTTCCTATATTAAAAAAAAAAAAAAAAAAAAAAAAACTGTTAGTACAACAGTTCATCTACAATATATATAATTTGCATACAGAAGCAAAAATTTTATTCTTAGAGAAAAGATCACCTGTTTATGTTTCAAGTTTTCTTCAAACCGTTCAACCGTTTTGGAAAGCTCATCTATCCGAGAATTAGCCTACGAATATATATTCATATACGTAAAATATAATTTATTGTTCTAATGTTATATTCGTTTAAATTTACCTCATCTAAAGCGGTTTTATGTAGTATGGCTTGGTTATGAAGTAATCGACTGGCTTCTTCTAATTCTTTGTGTTTCTGTAATTGCTCTAACAGCTTCCTACTTTCTAGCTCCATTTTCCCTATTTCTATCGCTTGACTATCAATTTGCTCTTCCGATTTGAGTAATAGTTTTTGAGCTTCGCTAAGCTTCTTAGCCATTTCGTTAAGTTGGTTTTTCAGCTGCGATAAAAATGCAATACAACTTGATTTGACTATCCTTCTGATAAATTTCAATATTCTTGTTACACATGTGCGCAAAATTACCTCCTCATCTTGAAGACATTTCTGCTCGATTTCGTTCTGAAGTCTCGCAATTTCCTTCGCTGCGTTTTGTTTTAAACTCTCAATTTTTTTCTCAAAGATAGATTTTAACGATTCCATTTCAGGTAAATTTCCGGTCATTAATTGATTCCCCAGTTCTTTGTAGACGTCCAATTCTTCCATGATAGTTTGGACTTGATCGTGCACTTCTTGCGAATTTTTTCGCATTATATTAAACAAGTCTTGGTACTCGTCTATACGTTCGTCATCACGTTTGAGCTCATACTGTAGTCTTTCCACTTCAGCATTGCTCTGCATCAAGCGATTACTAAGCGCCATTATAGATGCTTGATTGTCGGCCATTATCATATCAAACCTGAATGTTTGAGATAATTTGGACATAAAATTAATCTCTGTAAATGAAAATACAATGTAATAGATCAAGAAAGATACTAACCTTTTTCTCCTAGCAACCATTTCGGCTGCTTCCGTTCTGATGTGATCCTTCAAAATTCTCAGTTCTTCCTTCTTTTCCGCCAACTCACTTTCTGCTTTATCCAACTCGACTTGTAAACTCTGACTAAAACTTTCCTAAACATTTATTGTGACAATATTGCACTATTACAATAAACAACGTAACGAAAATGCTCATAGAAATAATATAATCACCTGTGTTTCTGCTGATGCTTTTAATTCCTCGAGCATCGCGGATAGCTTGGCGATTTCGGTATCTCGCTGGGCAAGTTTCTCGTCTAATGAAGCGCGTTCCAGTTCCATACGAGCGAGACACGCCTTGTATCTTTTGCTAGCGATGTGCATCTCTTCTTCCACGGAGCTTTGCGCCTCTTTGATCATGGTATTGACCTACAGTACAAAGTAGAACCTTCAGTGTCATCCGCGAATGTTGCAGAAACAAATATTCTCAAACATCACAGCGAAAAACACATCAGCAAAAGATAACAGACAATTCTACAAAAGACAAAAACATCCATAAAAACATTTCCCATAAATCTGTTTATTAACATAGCAATGCCTACGTGAGTTCACACACAACTATTAAAAGAAAATAAATTAGTCAGTGATGTTTTGGCATTTTACGCACGTGTGACTCGCTTACTTTCGCGTCGCACTCAATAATCACTTTCTTCACCCGTTCTTCACTCTCAACGCGACAAGCCGCCAATGTTTCTCTGGTAACAGCCTCCGCATTTTCAATTCTCTTTTGCGCACTTTCGGTCACCCGTTTAATCTCCTCTTCAAGCTTCTTATTGGACGCCGTTAATTTTTCCACTTCTTTATCTCTTACTTTTGTAATCTGTATACAACATGCAATTATTGAATATAAAAAATTACAATTGCGTCGCGCAAGTACAGGTTTTTAAAAATAAATAATTTTCCATGTCAACGTACGTTTTCCAATTCTTTCACGTATTTCTCTTTGGTATTCTCTAACACTTGCTCCAATTTTAATTTCTCCTCAGCATGTGTACTTTTTATATCGCTCAGATCTTTTTTATATTTTTCCGCCATAGCAGTGTGCCTTTCGTTTGAGAGTTTCAATTCTTGTTGTGTCTCTTGCAAACGTCGGCTTACCTAAAAAAAACCAAAAAAATTATATTAGCGAAATAATTATTCATATATTGTGCGTGTCATATTATCAGAAAAGAAGATGTACGAGAATACTCACATCTTTGTAAAGCCTTTGAATGTCCTTCAATTCTTTCAAAAGACAAGAGTTTGTTTCCTCCATCTTATTTGTTTTTTCTTTGGTTTCTAATTCACGTATTTGATACATTTTATTTTCCATTAACAATTCTTCCTTTTCTTTTGAGAAATCACTTTTCAAGTGTTCAATTTCTTTTTCATATTTATCCGTAAGCTTGCAAGTTTGTGTATGAGAATTGTCAGTGAGCTCTTGACATTTCGCTTTGAGTTCATCTAATTCGCACTCCAAAACGCACAACCGAGCCTGAAGTTCCACAATAATACACTGTCTCTTTTCCAACTTAGTTTCAAGATCATTTCGTTCCTCCGATAATTTCATAACGCGGACATTGAGTTGACTCTTTTCTTTTTCCAGTAATTCAAGCTTGTTGTCGTAATCGCGCTCCTTTTCGTTTAGCGTGTTTTCGTATTCGCTGTTGCGCATTTCGAGATTTTTGATCTATTAAAGAAAACAAAATTTGCGATTTGAAGAAACTCACATACTAATCTACATCGCAAAAAATGATGTTTAATTTATACCGTCACGTGATCTTTTTCTCTCATAACAGCCAATGCTGATATTCTTTTTGACAGTTCGTCGACGACATTCTCCCGTAACTCCGTTTCTATCTTTTGCCTCGAGATTTCTTCATCTTTTTGATCCTTTTTCTCAGACACTTCTATTAATTGAGTACGCAGCATCTCCATGTCTATCTTATGTTTTTCTTTATAACTGTTTAGTATTTCCTCGTGTACTTTGGCCTGCAAATTAAAAAAAAAAAAAAAAAAAAAGAAACACGGTGATGTATTAACAGTATTAGCGAAAAGTAATTTTTATTTACTAGCGAAAAGTCAATTTTTACTTTGAAGTATCACCACTAACCATTCTTTCGATATCAGTCTTGTGTCGTGCTTCCACCTTGTCTTGCTTCGTTTGCAGCTCCGCAAGCTCGGCTTCTAACTTCTCTATATTGTTCTTCAATTCCTCGATATGTTTCTCGTGTTCCTGTATAGTTTTGTCCTTGTTCAGACACTCCACTCGAAGATCTGCAAGTTGGTGAGTGGATTCGTATTTCATGCTGTTACTTCTTTGCAAAGATACATGTCCGTTTTTTTGTTTAGAGCAAACGATCGGTTTTGTGATCATCCGCTTCGACACCGAGGGCTGTACGGAGAGAGAAAAAAACATAACTTCTTTTTCGTGCGAGTTTTTATTCCGTTGTAATAATAAAGTTGTTGCTTTACTCGCTTGTGTGACATTGCGTTTTATGCGTCAGACAATTTCTTTGGAATTCGACGTCTCTTACCATTCGAAAAGCAGCAGTCGACGTGGTCATTGCGCTGCTCTTTCCTGATGTGCCGAGCGACGATGTGCCGTCTGCGCTGCATGTGCTTTTAGTTTCTACAAACCTATCACATCTTTCGATAACGGTCCCTTTTACCTTAGTAAATTCGAATTTCGGATCGTACGCGCCCGGCGGAGGTGCCTCGCCTGCAAAATCGCACATGTATTAATAAGTTAACTTTATTTTTAAAACTCTCTGAAGAGGAACCGAAGATGATCGGGAAAAGAAAAATTTTTTACATAGAAGCACATACAATTAATAATAATAAATAAATTAACAATAATAAATTATTTATATTTACGCATGCGACAAATCGAGTCGAAGAATCTTTTTATCGAGTGAAGTTTTTAAATTGCCGTTGTTTAATGTGAGGAAAGGGAGAAGAACAAAGGTTTAAATATGTGGTAGGTCGCCGGTTTTAAACTTATTGTGCAATATCGATCGGTGTGTCGCGCAACACATTGCAAGAAGAGACCAAAGGAGGAAGGACGCGAGGCTAAATAGACTTCCTTTTTGGCGCGCATTGGAAGGAGAGGGCGCGAATGGAAGAGACAGCTGTTCTGAATGCGCAAGGGATATCCATGGGGGACGTAGGAATAACCAGGTGTAGCCGGTAATATTCCCGGTGCCACACCACCCCTATCGCCCCATCGCGTCCGTGCTTGATAAAACGTCTTCTTCTTCTTCTTTTGTTGTCTACCGCACGCTTTTTTTCCAAAGGAGAGAGGGATCAATATAGGAAATTTAAATTTATTTATTCTTCGACTTCAATCACTCGACTTATTGCGCACAATCGGTACTTCCTTCCTTCATTTTTTTGTACTTGAATTTTTGAATGTCACATCAAAATAAAAGAAAAAAAATTGTTAATTGTCTCAAGTTAAATACGCGACAAATATAAATTTTTCGCGTAAATGATAATAAACTATACGTTTGCAATTGTTCCTTCTGATTGTTTTCAATTTTACAATTATTTTTTTATAATTATTTTTGCGAGGAATAAAGCACGCTTTACACTTGTGTTATAAAAGGAACCCATATCGCGAGACATCCTATATGTATAAATAAATATGTAAATAACAAACAATGTGCGATACTGACATTGACAATGTGCGATAGTATGACATTGTATCTGTACATACTGTTTGTGAGCAACATTGTCATTACTTTACAAAGTATGAGGTTGTTACTTCTATTTTTTTTTTTTGAAGTTTTAGTGAACTTTTGCTGCTATTAAAGATTGACGTTAAAAAATCGCACGGAAACCACGTAGAAAGCGTGTGGAAAACAGCATTGAAGATTTCCCGCCATCGTACGTATCGAGACGCGCGTTTTCCGTAAATCTGTTGCAATGAGAATTTGTCTCGTCAGATCAGATCATTTACACAGTGAACACGTTCAATTCAATATTCCACTTTTATTTCTGTCCTTTTTTTATTTACTAAAATAAATGTTATTTCACAAAAAAAAACGATAAGAATAAAAAACATATCATCGTATGCTCTTCTCTTCTTTGCTAACACGCGATCGAAGATAATAAATAATTAAATCCTCTTTCACGTGCATATAAAAACGAAGAGCAGCCAAGAGAAATTATTGAAAAAATAACAAACAATACGTTCGGGTAAAATTGTCCTTCATATCTGAACAAACTTCCATATCTAATTAAGTGTAACTAGATACAGTTATGTAGTCATATGAGATCGTTTCAATCTCAAGTATAAAATTTATTTATTTGTAAAATCAGAGATTGAATTTGTCTAAAAAATTTTCCTAGGTGTGTGTATGTGTGTATGTGCAACACAATTGTTTTGTATATATTTGCATAAATTACAAACAACTTACTTCCAAGTTCGTTGAACCGTTGTATCTTTGCCTTGGAGAAAGACATACCAGTTGCTGTGCGTCGTTTTCTACTTTTGTTGTATCAACAACTCCGGAGTAATTCGCTTTGCGAAATGATCAGTGCGAGATTTGTGTGTCGGAAAACGCGCGGGATAAGAAACCGTTGATACCAAGCAACGTTTCTTGTCTCCGTTCGCGCGGTTTCCTGTCGCCAACTCGCACCCCTGAAGAAAACGACCCGAACCCTTCTTAAGTACGTCGAACACTGCGCGGACATTCGTTCGTCAAACTCGTTATCGGTTATTTCGATTTAAAAAGACAGTTTAACCGACAGCAAGCACCGCACCGCGGCGATTCGCCACGTGGTCACCAATCACAGTAGACCTGCTGATCCGTATCACGTGCACTTGCTGCACTGTCAAAATCGCGGCACGATATATTTGTCATCAACAAAAGTTTATTTGTTCGCATTTTTTATTTATTTTCTTGCAGCAGTTTTTCGTAGTTAGTTTTCATCCGTTCTTTTCTTTTAAATTCACGGGAAAGTCATCAAAGTGCAGGCGGTGCAGGCAAAAAAGAGCAAACAGCTGAGTCAATATACGCAATCGATATACGCATTTAATATTTTTGCGAATGTCATCGCGAAAATATAAACGTGGCGAGAGACGAAATATTTGTCAAGTTTGATGTTTTCGGTGTTTTGTCAAACATAAATAAAAATTTTAATAGTTTTGAAGTTCGATCCGCTTGCGCACACATATAACACATACGCACACATACACACATTTGCGAAACGTGTGCACGTCAAGCGCCACGTTGTATCGTGGATATCAATATTATACACACTATATATCGGAGTCTACTCCACGCTGTTATCATTAGCTGCTAAATGCTGCTGCATCGCCGGTAGAAGCGGCACAAACGAAGACGTTGGAATCTTGCAGCATATTATCTCTGTTCGCGATGAAGTACAAATCCCACATCACACTTCTGATTCTTCTCGTTCTAGGTTTAAGTTATGTCGCTTGCCAATACAGAACAAAATCCGTAAGTTTCCGTGTAATTTTTCTTCACTTCTTCGTACTGACTTCGAACGTTGAATTTTATCATGTTTCTTTGCAGACTCAAGGCACCTCTTTAGCGGAGCGTGTGCAGCAACTGATGGAAATGAGCATAAAAAGAACAGTATTGAAGTTCAATGGACCGAAATTCAAACAGTACATCAAAACCACTCCAAGGAATTACTCTGTTGTAGTTATGTTTACTGCTATGGCACCCCAGAGGCAATGTCACATCTGCAGGTAAACCAACACATTTTTAGGCTTGAATGTGAGACTATTTTGTTAGCGTACCTTTTTCTTTCTCAAGAACTTTATGTATAGACACATTTTGAAAATAAAAACAAAGAAGAAAAAACAAATTGAGATTTGGATTTACACATGTTTGTTACTTTTGTTATAATTCTAGGCATGCCAGTGATGAATTTACAATAGTAGCCAATTCATTTCGCTATTCTCAGGTATATTCCAACAAGTTATTCTTTGTCTCTATTGATTTTGATGAAGGCTCAGATGTATTTCAATTGGTAAGTAAGATAATTACATTTTTATTTGAAAATATATAAGAAGATATGAGATATAATTAACAAAATATTACAGATGAGGCTGAATACTGCGCCTGTATATATGCACTTTCCACCCAAAGGAAAGCCAAAGGTTGCTGATACCATGGACATCCAGAGAGTAGGATTTGCTGCAGAAGCAATAGCGAAATGGATTGGTGAACGCACAGATATTCAGGTTATGTACTTTTATTTAACAGCTTTTTTGACAAAATCAACCTGTTTAACTGGAATTGCGTTAATTTGTAAAAAAGTTGGAATTTCTTTTAACTGATTTCATTGCCGATTACAGATCAGAGTATTTAGACCTCCAAATTACTCAGGTACACTAGGAATAGCAATGCTGCTGATTCTCGTGGCAGGTTTCTTATACATCAGACGTAACAACCTGGACTTTATCTATAATAAAACTCTCTGGGGACTCGGTGCCTTGGTAAATATCTTTTCTTATCTACATATATTTCTATTGGAATTTTCTGAAGGCATAATTTAAATGTACTTTGTTTTCAGTTCTTTACCTTACTTATGACTTCTGGACAAATGTGGAATCACATTAGAACTCCACCGTTCATTCACAAATCACCAAGTGGAAATGTGGCTTATATTCATGGATCTTCTCAGGGCCAATTTGTGTTGGAAACCTATATTGTTATAACTATAAGTATCCTTTTACTAGTTAAAAAATTATTTTACGCAAAACAACAACCAATATATAAAATTCTCACGTTGCATTTTATGCAATGATATAAACCTTAATTATATAAAAAAAAAGATGGAGCAATAGCATTTGGAACAATTCTAATGACCGAGGCTGCAGCTCGTACAGGCGATGTCAAGAAGCGCAGGATATTTGCAGTAATAGGTTTGGCATTAGTTGCAGTTTTCTTTAGTCTTCTGTTGTCGTTATTTAGAAACAAGGCTCAAGGCTATCCGTATAGGTATGTATCGCAAATTTTACCTGTAGATTTGTTTATAATCTATACAAAGCAAATTGTATATTTATTTATTTGGAGCATGATGATATTGATAGGAAATCTGACAAAATTTCAATATCATCATGCTTCATATTTGACTTTTAATAAGAATTGTCACTACATTTGTGTTTTAGCGAAGAATAACTTGTCTGTTTCAGTTTACTGTTTAAATAGCTAGCAAGTATTGAAACCTCATTTTCAATTATCTCCATTACAACAATGTTTGCAGTTTCGCACATTGAAGAAGATAAAATTAAAGTTTTTTTATAATATAAATAAATAAAAACTTAAAAGAAACTGTTGTAACTTATTATCATGTTATTGTTATATAAATAATGTATCATTTTCTTTATTTTATATTATACAAATAGTATCCAGAAATCCTCGTTCTTATTTAAAAAATTTATTTTTATAATACATAATATTTTATTAAGTATTATTTGGTACATAGTTAAATACAATTGTTTCTTTCCATAAACAAATAAGCATTCATTTCTACCTAATTTTATACAACAAATATATATCTTACCAAATAAAAGGAATTAAAATTTTTCTTTCTTTTGGATAATTCTTGAAAGTTTTATGATACCACTGATGAGTCAAAAATGCAGTTTCTATCTAAAATGAGATAATTTATAGATTAGTATGTAGAGTAATTTTTACATTTGTGAATATCAACATTGAGAAAATTATAAACTCCGTACTTGATTACTTAAAACCCAAAGTGTGATATAATGGAATGTAGAAGCTTGCCAAAGAATTGCAGATAACATGATGTACACAATTATTTCTGTGAGTTGCAATGGACCCGATATGTATTTAAATAGTCCGTCGTGTGATATTTTATGGTCATAAGATATAACAGTTCCTTGCTTGTTTTTACGCAAATTCGCAAGAATAACATTACTTTTGAACTGCATATATGACGACCATAACAATATAAGCGCGCAACTTATTTTCAAAACTGTTAATTTGTGTAAGGATACACTTTTAGGCAAAGAACCTGTGTGTGTGTATAAAGTACACATATATATGCAATTGTATGGTGCAAAATAAAGATTTTATACATATATAAATGTTTGTGAATTTTTAAAAAAGTACCTTGAACAAATCCTTCAGATTCGCCAATTATACATAAAAATACACCTATGTAATGCACAAAGCCAATCAAATAATGGCTTATATGGATTTTTTGATCACTAAATACATTAACATAACATACTTCATATGCTCTTTTCCAATAATGTATATTACATACGAGAATAGTTAATATCACATCTTCTGCTGATACTAAGAGATAAAATTAACTAATTATATATTTAACAACTCTAAATATATATGTGTGAACATACTGTTTAATTATAATAAAAATACTTGTCACTCTCTTTCTAGATAAAAAATCATACCTAAGGGTTTCCTTGATGGTCCTAATAAAGCATCTAATAATAGCAATACAACTTTAGGTAAATTTCCATTGCAGAAATATCTATAAAAGATTAAACAGAGAACAATAGACGATGCTGGCCCAGCAAAAATATAGAAATGTCTAAACCACCTAAAGGACCACATAAAAGTTAGTAACAAATTACATATTAATAAAAGTAAAATGTGTTCTGTATAGTTTTACTAAAATAAAACAGCAAGTGCATATAAATGGTAAAAATGTTAAATGTGTTGTTTTTAAATATTTTTCCTGATACAGTTAATAATGTACACATTTTAACAAAGCATATAGAATTATTGGATTTCATGTTTTTAAATTATAATAAATAATAGATTTTGGCACACAAAAATATATGTGTATATAAACTTTAAACTTACTTTTTGGGCACTTCCAACATTGCTGCGATAGAGCTCCATGCATTTTCACTAAACTTGCCGTAACGAAAAGTACGCCTTACTACTATAGGTAAATAGGATTCCAAAATATTGATTAGTAATCCAATTAGTCCAATAAATATCGTGTTAAATAAGAAAATCCATCTTATAATATTTTCCGACATAATGTAGTTTGCGCTTTAACGGTCGGTAAGAAATTGAGCAAGTAACTAGAGTAGAACAAACTCTCACTTAGGTGTCCTACTTTGTCTAACTGCACTCCAGAATTGGAATCATTGTACCTGATAATATAATACAAATACATTTCCTCTCCCTCTCTCTCTTTTCGATTGAAATTATATACATATTTCAGATTTTAAAACTCCTGGATGTGGAACAAAGCTAGTTGAGTATAGAACAAATATCTCAATAATCGAAAATGTGGACATGCGATGAGGTCTGCGTGAGAAAAAAAGCCAAAACAAAAACCATAGAATGATAATGCAATAGTGCTGATAGCACTCTTCTCGAGCGCAACCAATGTTATGATAAAAAAGCAATTACAATTTTCATAAAGTTATGTATTATGTGTGACCAAAAGAGACCGCCAAAATTCGAATGGAATAGCTCGTTTATAATTGGTTGATCTCTCACAATAAATCTTTTCCGTCTTGATGTTTTGGCTGCATGTGATCACATTCTTATATTTTCGTCTTAACTTGAACCCTCCGCAGAGTAACTCAACATGAGAGAAATAAATATCCAGTAGCTTTAAATTTAGAATTTAAGCTTTGTCCAAATCTGTACAACATTAAAATAAAAAAACAACATTGTACAATATGTATATATATCCGTTAAAATTAATTTATTTTTAACATTTATATTTAATTTAATACAAATTTACACTTATATATGTAACAATGTATCATTTATGTGTATGTGTATACTCATAGCAAATTTATATTTATAGCAATATAAATTTCTTATTATAATTATTTATGAACAAACAAAATTCTTTGTTTTTAGTATATTAACTTAAAAATCTTAATAAAAATTTATTAATTTACCTGTTGACATATATCTTATTTAATATCTAATACTTTCGATTATAAAATTATATCTCAAACACACAAATAAATTAATCTCAGTTTTACTCCATCAGAGTCATCTTAAATTTATCATCCGGATGAACTTCTATTCTAAAAATTATTTCGTCATCACACACATATTTTAATACTTCGTCTACGTGTACAAATTCGGTATAACCAAAGCTACGTTTGTTCAATTCACATGCAGGTTTCCAAAAGGATTCAAGATCACGCCTTGACAAGGTTATTTCACGAATATTTTCGTCCGAATTAAGTGGATGTACCAATACAAAGTAAATTATTCCATTGAAAGGCCAATCTAAAGCGTCATCATTATCAGATTTCATAATATGTAAAAGCAAGGAAAGATAATTTTCATCGTTAGAGGATATATTGATCCTAGCACAGATCTTATATCCGTATGGACTTGTATAAAATGCTGGACTATAAAACATTTGAAGATGATCTTTTTTCATAGCTGCGAGTTTTTCTTGAAAAGATTTTAGTCTCCATATGTAAAATCCATTACAAGTTTGTAGATACATAGTTTCCAGTTGACTTTTTTGATTAGACACTGTTATGGAAAGTTCTCGATTTGCTTGTTCTAGGACTACTATTCTTTCGTACAAATTTCTAGAAAAAAAGTTCAAAATTTTTACACGCACTTGAGCTTTGCCACTTTCGCAGCCGGCGATTGTGGCGCGATTCTTAACTGGAAATCACGTGCACTCTACAAAAAAAATCTAATTATTGTAGAACAACTAGAAAAACTATTTTAAACCATTAACAAAAATCATTTTAAAATAACGTAAAAATGTTAGCGGCTGCGAATGTGTGATTATAAATGCAATATTCATAAAATATTTGAAGTACTTGAGTAACTGTTGCCAATCAGGAGTAGGTCCTTCTTTATTTGAAATCTGTGCCCCAGACTTTTGAGGTGGATCCCACAATATTGCTTCCACAGACATCCCTTTATCAGTATTTTGTGCTGTATCAATTATGAGATTAGATCGTATGACAAGAGTAGAACAGTTTTACTATATGCATCTTTCAATACATGAAACATACTTTGAGATTCTGAAAGAGTTGTTTTATAAGTACACTGATCAATATGTGTATTCATATCTACAGGAGATAATTCTACTTCACAACCAAACTGTTGATACGGGCAATTTATATGTATCTGAGATATTTCTCTATCAGTGTGGAGATCTCTAAAAAGATCATTTTCATGTTTCAAGGAGCGGCTGTCAACTGGACAACAAGACTCTTTTTTCCTGGCAATTTATAATAAATAATAAATTTTATTATACAGTTGAGATGTGGATTCCTCATGAAAATGTCATTATTGATGAGTAAAAGCCAATACGAGGAATCCTCGAAATTTTATTATATACAGTATAGTAGTTAATAGTAAAATATGAATACACCTACACTAATAAATACAACTTACTCAAGCCAAGCATAAATGCATTTTGAACAGAATTTGTGTCCACAGGATGTTAAAACTGTCTCATGTAACCATTGTAGACAAATGGGACACTCATATTTAGGATCTACATGAGTTTTGTAGCTCTTGCTGCACTGTGTGCAATGAAATTAAGGAAGTATAAAAGTTTATTAATGAACACATGACTATTGACACATGTGATTATTGAAATAAATGCAGAGATATAAGATTACAGATATCAATGATGCAAATTAGTTTTATCTGATAGCAAATAAAAATGACTGGTCTTGCACGAAACAAAAGAATCTTGAAAAAAGTGTCATTCTGAAAGAGAATAATATTGAACAATTTTTTAATAGCTTATGAATAAAGCAGTATGAATATAAGCATTTAAAGCGAACACACTCTCGTGAACTTGAAATTGAAAACTAAATACATACATTTTCCTCAGGTTTACCAGATGCAGCTGTATTTGGCATTTCCATAATCTACAATATCTATCATTAAATTAAATATTACATATATTATCAAGTGATTGACTTCGTTGCAGTTTGCAATTAAATACATAATAATGTGTGACATATGTGCACTATGAATCATTTCCTATGTTTTTTTATATGTACATGTGAAATGAACAAACTCATATGACTAACTACTCCTATTTATACTTGATATACAGATGCTGCTCGATTGTTTTGTACTCATATTAAAAATGACAACTTACCGCGCAAATCTTGTACAATCTTTACTTTACGTTTTAACAATCCACGTAAATAATCGATCTTTAAGGCCAGAGGCGGATTTAGGCATAATCTTTATGAGCTGCAGCCTGGGACCCCGTTCAATTAAAGGGCCCCTTCGTGATGAAAAACGGCGAAACCAACCGTTTTGTTTTTTTGCACTAAAAATAATTCCAAGTACTGGCATAAGTAGAGTAGTATTAGCCAAAGGCCCCCAAAGTTAACGGTCCGCCTCTGTTTAAGGCCATCACACATACAATTACGTGCATTTTACGAGCATAAGACTGCGTTCCGTTTCACGCATATGCGCGCATTTATTTACAGTACACGTCACGTATAGTATAGATAAATGCGCTCATATGTGTGAAACAAAACGCAGCTTAAGACATAGCCGTAGCAGACATTGACCAATCAGAAATTTATGTCCGAAAATAGTAGAGATATAGGATACATTCTGATTAGTCAATTTCCTTACGACTAGAAACGGAAAAGCATGATGATCTTGCAAACTATATATTACACATATGAGAGATGTCAGAAATAACGCAAAAAAATCAAACTTGAAAAATAGAAAAAAGTAAGAGTGGAAAAACAACACGTAACTAACGTCACGTGACAAGGAAAACAGTAAAAAAGAGAATATTATATATATTATACGTATAATATTATATATCTATATATAATACACATACGCATATATGTATATATATATATATATATATATACCGTAATCACGTGACCGAAGTCAGTAACTCCACCGCGCGGTCGCGCGGCCGAGGTCAGTGCCCCGCCAAGGTCGCGCGGCGAAAGTCAGTGACATTACTGTAGTATGTATGTAATACATATAATACAATATAAAGTATAATATTATAAATATATAATAAATTATATGTATAATATGTGTTATTTAATGTATATATAATATAAATTACAGTCACGTTATTTTCACGTGTTGTTTTTCTATACAAAGCTACCAAATATAGGGTATTATGATTTTTCTTTCCTTTGGATAACTCTTAAAAGTATTTCGATACCATTGGTGAGACAAGTATGCATATTCGACCTGTAAAAAAAAAAGAAAATTCTTGTAATATCTTTGTCAATTTGTTATAAAAAAAAAGAAAAAATGCGGTGAATTATACCTGATTTATTATAACAAACACGGTAACATAATGAAATGTAGAAGCTTGCCAAAGAACTGCGGAAAGGGCCAGATATACCAATATTTCTGTCAATTGCAACGGATTTGATACGTAATTAAACAGTCCGCCGGTAGGTATCTTGTGTTCCTTGGTCACCACGTCACCGTGCTGATTCTTTCGCAGTCCCGCAAGAATATAGTTACTTTTAAGTTGCGTATATGTAGACCACAAAAATATAAGTACGCACAACAATTGCGTGATTGTTATTTTGTGCAAGGAAAAATCAGCATGTGATCCTGTGTTTGTATATACATGTATAAGCATTTTAATATATGTAAATGTATAAATTAAATATATTTAACATATATAAAAAATATAGAATTGTATAAATTTTATAATTACTATGCGANTAGAAGAGATATAAGTAAAATAGAAAGAAAAATCGAAAGAATATATTTATATTGAATAGAAGTAACTATGAATAATAATTAAATAAATATAACATATTATACTTATTAAAAAATATATAATTAAATATATATCTATACATATGTGTATAAATTTTAAGACTTTTTTTAATTTACCTCTAACGAATCCTTTAGACTCTCCTACTAAAGATGCTGTCACTGTCCAATAATACATATGTCCAAGAACATAAAAAATTACATTTATCTTTTGATCACTAAACACGCAAACATACATCTGTTCAAACGCTCTTTTCCACACATGGGTGGATAACATTACAATAGCCAGAAGTGTACTTTCCTCTGATACTAAAATGATATAAATGAAGTTTTTTCTTATACGAATTTGATATGATACTAAGTTTTCTATAAAAGTCACATCATATACGTACCTAAAGGTTTTCTTGATGTTCCTAATGAGACATCCAAAAAAAAAAGTATATTGTCGGAGACATCTTTATTATAGAGATATTTCTTTAACGCTACGTAAAATAAAACAAGTGTCATTGGTCCAGCAACAAGATACAAGTGTACAAATAATCTAAAACATTCGAAATAAGCAATTTATTATAAACGATTGTCAATGCATAACAAGCAGAAACTGTTTATTTCTCAATATACTTTTACTGTACATTTTTTATTTTTTTTGACAGAAAAAATTTACACACACATAATATATGTAAAATAATGTAAATGTTTACACTTACTTTTTGGGAATTTTTTCAATCTTTTCTATTAAAGCGTGGCGACGAGTCTCTGCGATTTTTCCATAACAAAAAAAATGAATAATCCATTTTGGCAAATAGACTTCTGCATAATTTAGTAATAATGCTACTAATCCAGCAGTAATTATATAAGAAATAATAACATCCCCTGCTAGATTGAAATCCATTAGTCAAGATCAGCTCAACACGTTAATATTCAAATAACACTTCTGTAAAGAAAATATAAAATTCTGTAAAGACAGTATAATATTACTAGTTTTAGTAACTAAAATCTCTTGCTCTACAAATATGTACAAACAATTATTAGATACGTAGAGAAAATACATAATGTATAATTGCAAAAAAAATATAATACAATACTAATCTAACATCACAAATCTCGCTAATAAATCAAGACAAAGACTACAAAATAATAAAGTAAATGATAATCCGAGTCGAAATTTTGACTCTCTGATGAACCTCTCATTCTACTATATATAGGAGTTACGATAGTAAAGTAGGTTCAATTGCAAGGATAAAATTTGCTCCTACTTTCAACCTAAAAGTGTCACAAATTTCCATTTTCTCCAAGTTAGGTTTAAAGTAGGTTCTATTTTTGTAGGAGCTAAAGTAGTAAAATAGGCTCAATTAAAACCTCTATTGAACCTACACAGACAGGTTTCTTTAGATTTAACAAATTTTGTTAGTAAAGTTTGAAAGTAGCATCAAAATTTCGACTCGAGCTGTTTTAAGTTCGCGTTGTGAAATTGAATATTGATTAATTATATATTACGCAACGTACATGCAAATGCGCGTGTCTTCAGGCAGGTGTCTTTTTCGTGAAACGAATTGCGCAAATCTCTTGAAGTATCGTATAATATACTTGTATTTTATACGATGCTCCGAGGTCATCTCACAAGTAAAATTCCTATTAAACTAAATTTACGTTACGTCTAAAGATAAAAATTTGGGACTTAACCGGTTATGTTAGCGTTTGTATTTTAACTGTGTAATCTTTGTTTTCTTTTTCGCGAAGTTTTGACGTAACGTTTTCACTTACGTCAAAACTAATGCGTGTGGACAGTAGCGATGACTTTTTGTCAACTTGTTTTTTTTCTTTTGAAAGGTTTACGAATGTCGCGTCAAGTCTTCCTTTCTTTTATTGATATGTAGGTATATTTGTTTCCTTTCTATAAATTATATAAAACTATTAATTTTTGTAAAAGTAACAATATTACATACGAGTCGTTAATTGACTAACTGAGTTACTAAAGTTGTAGCAAACACAAAAACAAATTTAAAGACATTGAAAATTGTAACTGCTAGCTTCAAAAATGAAACACACACTAAAGTATAAAAGATTGTCTTCAAAAGCGTAAATTCGTTAAAAAGTCCATAAATCACCTTGGCATATATTCCGAAAAAACTTTTTTCAGTCCATATATATTAACTGTAAATTCTTTCTTATACCAGAACTTACCTCCCACGAAATCCATATGACCACAATTGTCAAACCCAATTTTATTAGCTATGACGTTAAGAGTGCGTAATTTAAACATGATTGCAATGTAAAACTAGAAAGAAAGTAAGTCAACTTTACTTTTAAATTAGGTAAATTTTGCGCCGTTTACTTAAAACCATTAAGCGTGTAGATTGGTGTTTGAATTTACTTGGTCACTTTCTAATATCGACATTATCGGAGAACACATTTTAAAAATAAAATACAATTTAAAGATGCTTACTAGTATCGCTGCAATCTTTCTTCCAACTTCACAAAAGTGTCGGGATTGTCACGTTTTTTGACGTCTCGGCTATTCTACTAGTCGCACTCTACTAGTAGCCTATGCTTTTTATTGCTTTTATATTTACGACTACTTTTCAAAATGGCCGATTCAGCAAATTTACTGCGTAAGAGCACCGAGATGGTAGGGGCACGCACACAAGCGAGAACCGCTGTCCGTGTGCGTGAGGTCACGCTCGGCATTTCGGCTCTTCGCATAGAGCTTATACTCATAGAGAGGCCCTGCCTATATGCTAACCATAGAGAGGGCTCCGCCGGGAAAATCGACAAAGAGAAATATATTTCGATTAGTGTCCGACCGAAGGTTCGGTTTTGGTTTCGGTTTCGGCCAGTTTCGGCACAAAATTGGAGTTTCGTTTTAGTTTCGGTTTTGGCAGCGAACCGGCCGAAACTACTACTAAAACCGAAACTTCTTTCGTGTTCGTGAGTTGTCGACTTGTCGCACTAAATAATAACCAAAGGTTAGATAGAAGTTATTTCGTTTTTTAGATAAAAGAAAAAGTTTGTTTTTGTTATCTTAATCTTAAGTACAAAGTTTTTTTTTAACTATTTTTTGTTGGCAACTTCATAATTATTATTATGATAATGCGTAATTATATGCCTTTGAATTAATAATAGGTACTTGACATGTTGATATTTTTTGTTACAAACTCAAGTTTTAATTTATTTTTATAACTAAAACTTTGACTGTCAAAGAGACTGTACTAATAATTGTGTGATATTAGTACAGTACTGATATTGATAATAAAAACTGCATTAATCAATGATTTTTTTTCTGTGTGAATTACACACCTCACCTTACATACAGAAGAACGTTTGTGGTACTTTTTTTTGTTGATTGTTTAAGAGCAATAAAGTTATTTGTTTATCGAATAAGGGCTTTTTTAAACACATACGCAACTGCAGCTAGCTAAACTTTACAGAAACAGGCTCAAACTAAAAAACTGTAATAAG